ATGAGCTACCTTCGATTGACTCAGATTGACTGTCAGATATGTTTGCGAAGATGTTGTCCATGACCAGGAAAATTCGTACAGATTTTTTTTGGGCTCGTCTAACCGATCTCTCTTTTTCTAGTACCTATTTCCTTCAGAAAAGGAAAAATATGCGCACGCGATTGCACGTAACTGTTCGCTTTCCTTTGTTTACATAATTTGACGTGCCAGTGTTCAATTTAGTCCCAAAAAAACCTACGGCTGCCGGTGCGTTCTTATTTGATCTTTAATAAAGGTATTCAAAGGCGGAACAACATAGACAACTGGACGAAATGACAAGGAAGGTACAGGTCGTTGACTGTTTAACTTCTCTCGAAGAGTGAAGAATTAAGAAGATGCAAAATCAAAGATTTACCGTATCCCGTTGGTAAAATGGCCAAAACATTTCTGCCCGAATACATCGCATCTAAACACTGGACTTATTCGGGTTTTAAATTAAGGTTACAATACCAACTCCGAGATATAGCGACTTGAACGCTGCTATAAAACGTGGCGACCTGAACAGCGATAGCGTCGATTTGAAGATGACAAAGGATACGAGGCAAAAATCGAGCAAACAAACGACTCGTCCCTAAGGAATTTTTTTGCTCTCTAAACACGAGACCAGCCTAAACCAGGCTCTCTCCTCGCTCGCTCCAGGGGGCGGGAAGATGAGAGACCCTGGGAACGAGGTTGTGCATGATCATCTAATCGGCGTTCAAAATACTCCAAGACACTGGTGTTTTCAGCGTGAAGATTTCTACGAGCTTGACGAAAAAGGGATGGAATAGAGCTCTCGAAAATTGCTCTAACTCATCAATCCTGTCAAGGGCCGCCATGTTATTTTCTATCAATCTTCCGCTGACCAAATTGACATTGGGCACAATAACCATATATATATTTTTCGCGCATTCGCCCCATATTTATATCGTAAATTATCTCTAGATATGCAAGGAATAAAAGTTGATACAAACAGATTCACAGCCGACATTTGTTTTTTTGGAAAAGAATATGGAAACCAATGATACAAATATGTGTCTGTATGAATCATGTGTATTTGGTCCATGCCATATATATTCCATACATATCATATTTATTTGATCCATGGCATATATATTTAACTTTTGCACTTTATTTTTGCGCCAACAATATTGTCCCATACGGCACGCCATATGCAGCTGAACTGGACCAGCCTGGTTGAATATTGCCAATATATAAATAGATTAATACGGTCTTCCTCATTCACGACTACAAAATGCGTGTAGTCTTTCACACGAATGTGAATGAGAATTTATATTTCTCTAGAGTTAATGATTCTGAAATGCGTTCCTGCGTCGGATAAAATGCGAAGTTGATCATTCGCTTCAAGAAACTGCCGTTTAGTTACTTAATATAGAGTGCAATATTGGATTTCTGTTTTGCAGTCGCTCGTCATTCACACATTTTTAAAGATAAATAGATCATGCACGCTGATAACTGACATGCTTTGTAAAAGGCCAAGCTCAGTTTGCATTTCGTAATTATTTTGCAAAATGATCGCTTAATAGAAAACATAATGACATTTTCCAAACCTTTGTTACAAATTTGGACACGCACACTTCTCTAACCCATCATAACTTCATAATTGTTTGCATTTCATATTAAAGGTCCTTTAAGATGTTTTCAAAGGTTTACCTTTTACCTCTTTATGCCTACAGTAACCCTTTAACTTCCAGGGTGACCAAGACAGACTTTATCCTTACAATATCAACACAATATCCAGCAGACAAGAGATGAGAATAAAGAACACACTAACAATCAGGGGATAGTTAGTTGATCTCATACCAAATTCTCTGAGTTAATATCAAATGAATTTTATGGCAGACAGTGAGGAGAACTACCAAAATGAATGAGATCTTGGTAGTGAAGGGTTTAATACATTTAAAACCATTTCAAAATCCTTAGTTCCCAGAAATCACCAAATGCATGAGTGTTGAAAAGATTCCCTACCCTCATTGCTGATGTGTGCTTCAGACTAACTGATAAACAAAAGTGGGGGTTCTAAACTGCAGACTGGAGTTGAGTGTTGACAAAACTTTCCTTTTGCAATTAAATAATTTCAAGCTCTTATTTTTCTTTTCAACACTTAATAGGCTTCTCAAATGATCCGGGCTTATATTTGTTGTGAAACTAAATCTCAATAAACAAAAAGTAAAGGTAAAGGTATTACCTGTTTGCCACAGGTTTAAAGGCAATAAGTTCCTTCACAAGTTCATATGCCTCACCTTAAAAGAACATCCAGAAATACTGTATGGACAAACTATCTGGGCTAAAGGACAGTGATTCTGGATATGATCATCCATTAACTCACGGGGTATATTCACTTCACCACACCCTTCAGGACATGACAGTGGGAACTTTGTGCAGGTCTTCTCATGGTCCTGAAAAAATGTGGGAAAGGAAATCTGTTAGTTATTGGTATCAACCTTAGCCAATATACCTTACATAATAACAGCATGGTTTTTCCTAAGATCATTTTCCCAAAGGAGACTAAAATAAAATTAAGTAAAAAAGGGGAAAGTAAAATAAAAGATACACTAAATACTGAGAGGAAATTAGGACGGCTGAGAAATTAGGATGGCCGAAAAATTAGGGAGATGGAAGGAGAAAATGAAGAGGAATGAAGAGTTAATCGCAATTAAAATCAATTTCCCAAGCAAGAAGTGCAATGATGGCTATATGCTGGTGCTAATAGGCTACTCTGCATGAAGCAAACCATTCATTTCCATAAACCACACCTTTTGTTCTGCTTGAGTTATTAGCACTTTACACCACTGACAAGGTATCTTCTTGTGTAAGCAGGTCTTTTCTATGTGCTCCTGTAGGTCTTGTGCTAGTAATTGGATGTTACAGCCTGGGTTTGGACAATGAACTTTCCTAAAATCACACTTGGTTAGGTGTTCCTTTTAGGCAAGAGTGGAAAAGAAAATAAACACAGCTAAAATTCCAATTAACATAGAATTGCACATTGAATCTGTAATGTGAGAGGTGATGAAGAAGTCTACACATATGTGCCATAAACAATACCATTAATATAAAATTAAGGTAAATAAGTCTGAAGATGACTGAAATCACAATTTATACTCTGTTTTTTATCTCATACATTACAATTATATTGAGGAATCATCTTGTGCACAACCAAACTAACAATGAAGTGTGCCCAAAAATAAAGGAACCAAACATGTGGTTGAAAATTGATTGTGAAAGACAACTGCACACAGTTCTTTCACTACTTTACAACATGAATATTTCTATAATGAAAGACTGGTGGCAATTTGACTTAATCTGTGCCTATTTCAAAAAAGAAACTTACCAAGAGATTCTGTAGCTTTCCCTTCCACTTGCAGCCAATATCATGATTGTTGCAGAAACAGATTAACTGGTTTATTTCCCTTTGACATGAGATGTCTTGAAAGGATGGATTCACATTCTCTCCATCCAGTGGACACAGTCCTTCCAAACTTAAGGGTTTATTTGGAAAAAATATAAATTTTTGTTTCTTATTTACATTATAACCTACATAACAGGCTGAGGGTTTATGTATCTGATAGTATTATATCTCCGACACTAGGCAATACATTTATTGAATTAAGATATTTTTTTCACTGTTCCTTGTTTCTTTCCTTCTTAATTTTTTAAGACTCCCACAAGACAGTTTTTAACACTTAACAATAGCCTTATCATCATGCTTTGAAGAGAGATGAAATACACAATGTTTGTCTCTTCACAAATGATTTTTTCAAGTCATCTAACAAGTGACAACCAATAATCATGAGAAAACAGTGGCTTTTCTGACTCCCTCAAGTTAAGCAAGTTGGCAAACTTCAATGAATTTGTTGTTAAACTTATTCCTCCAAACAAGGTAACTTGGGCCAGTCTGCATTTAATTTCTGCAAATAATTTCTGCTTGTGAGAGGTCATTTATCCAATACTTAAGGTTTTTAAATTGGAAAAAGAACACACCTATTTTTATGTTTCCAACAAAACAAGGTGACTGATCATGAAGTTCACGATCTCAGAAGCTTCCCTTTTCAAATGGTATAATTCTATATTTCCTTCCTTTCATCAGTGACAATGCAAAGCAATAAGCAACATGCTAACACTGTGTGCATCTTCAACCATATCACTCACATTAATCTTTTTATTTAATCGTGGATGCTCTCCTTAATTAAGTAAAAATTGTACCAAGTCTCAAATATGATTGGTTATCACCAGCCTGATTTGAGTGCTAATAGGACAGTCTAGACATTATACTTGTAATTGGACAGTATGCGTCGTATCATGCATTACGGCGAGTAAAGGATTTTTTTCTTTTTTTTTTAAAACTGTCAATAGAAATTTTAAATCGTTTAACGATGTCTGAAACCTGAATACGTTCAACATCCTGCGTCACGAAAACACGGCCGATCAGAACTATAGTTGTGATCAAGCGAACTGAAAAATTCAACATGCGAAGCCTTGAATTCTGATGTCTTACCGATCATTGAAAAACACAACTACGATAACTCATGGTCGTTCCAACATGCGTTTGTAATTGTCTGTTGGATCGAAAGCTCACCGCTTGAGGCACGCAACGAATGAAACTATAAAATTCATAAGCTACGGTAAAATCACACAACAGCGAACGTACTAACTCACCTTACAGAAGCTTTAAGGCATCTAGAACAAAATCTGTGGCCACATGAAGTTTGCAATGGATCTTTCAGTACATGTTTACAAAGAGGGCAGGCATAACGATCTGGCAGCTTGTCTTCAAATTGAACGTTATCAATTGTATTATCCATTTGCTATTGTAAGTCTTTATAAACTCCTCCGTTTAGTGCGAAATAAAGCAGCTGAAATAGAACTTAAAAGAAGGGCAACCGAAAGTATGGGTTAGAAAACAAAACCTAAATATGCTTACACAGTATGATTTTTGCTTACGTAGTTCACTTTCGGTTTCGATCCCCTGGCACAGTGACGCTATATATTGTTCGTTGAGGGTTGAACACACAAGTTTATAGTACAGCGGTTAAATTTAAATTACGTCGTGTAAGCTGTAGCACGTGTTCCCTACGAAAAGTTCAAACCCGAAATGTGTAAGATCTTAGTGAACAAAGGATGAAGAAATACAAAAACTAATGAAAATTTTTTCAATATGTTTTGGTTATTTACAAGGCTATCAATGCGCCAATAAACCTAACAGTAACGTTTGAATTTTGGACGGTAACTTCGAATCTTAAAGGGTAAATTCTAAGAGAGATTCTCCTTGGAGTGTTGAGTCAATTTTTTACTTGTCAACACTTGAGCGTCAAACAATTCGTGAAATAACGAGAATTTCAGGAATTTTATAGAGCCAAGCGTAGTCTTAAGCCAGTCCCACACTGGGAAGAATATTTTCCATTATCAATTTAGGTCACTAATCCGCAACGATGTTGTGAAATTAACAAGGGCAGACAAAGTACCGGTAGCTAGAGAGAGTCTGAGAAATCCACTTTGGTGCAACTTGCGTGGAAGTACTGGTCACAACTGTCGCATCGCAGCCAATCTTCTCCATCGTCGTCATGGCACACTATACAGACGTTGATGTTTCTCCTACAGCGGACGGAACATGTATTTCATTATCATTCACTTACATATGTCTTCTTTTTTATTGGGTCAGGTCTCATACTTTGACTCTTAACTCTATATCAGGATCAAACCCGATGCTTAGCGAGATTAAAGGATATGCAGTTTGGAAACAGGCTGTGACTTAGGTTACTTACTCGTAGATGTCATCGTAACAACAGCCAAACACCATAGACGTTATTAGTGCACGTTCGGTTGCTATGTCGAAAGCTACATCTACGGAAGACTCTTCGCACAAACATCCAGCAAACTGAAGGAACGATCGAAAACAACAATCAGTCATTGGAAAAGATGAGTGAAGCCAATATGTAATATTCCGTTAAATTCCTTTTAAGGAAGAAATAATTGGTTGTTAAGGTATATTTAATCGAATGTACTTCTTCCAGAGGCTAGCCTGTAGAACGGTAATGCTAGTTACCTTGTGAGGGTAAATATTTCGTACCTTAACACCTCATGATTTAATGAGAATAGTGACTTCTGTATTGAACTTAAAACTAAATGTCACGTGTGGGTGCAGAGCGAGTTAGCTACCTACGAGATAAATGAGAATTCCGCAGCTGTACCCATCCTTCTGTTTAAAGTGCACCGGCTCGATGCAAGGCCATGATAGAGAAAGCCAGCCCGTTTTAGCGTCAGCGACCTCACTACAAATATCATGACAGGCACATAAAGGGTTCACTTTATTCTCAAAGTGACTGCCGTTTTAGATTGAA